CCATCTTTCCCTTGCACGAGAGTAAAGACACCTAGAACGACCACAACGCAACGACCACTAGTACTCCACCCACATCTTTGCCACCATCGTCGCTTCACTTTACTCACCATTGCCCCCCCTCTCCCCAATCTCATGACACCGTGCGCTTAACAGCAGACGTTGCTCCTTGCTACCTGTGACGACCTTATCTCTCATTCACTCTACACTGGCCTCATTTTTCACCTCTCGCACCCAAACTCAATCCTCGTCACCCACGCACCTTGACACGATTTTTACAACCATGAGCCACCAGCACTCGTCTCCCCCCCTCCCCAACCTCCACGCCCTCTCCATATCGCCTGCGCCCTACGCCGTTCAGTCCGACTACCCCTACAACGGCGTCTTTGGTCCCTCCATCGCAACTCCTCCAGGCGCTCCCACCCGTGGGTGGACAGCCAGCCCGAAGCGTGGACGTCACGGTATCCCCCCGGTAAGCCCGTTGTCGCAGAGCCCCAGCTTACGCCGAAGGCATGGTTCGATCTTCCAGTCCCCGATGGACGCCTCTATGATTCGTTCCGCCGTGACGCAAACTCTCCCCCATCGCTTCAACCTTCCAGCAATGCAGCCAACACTGCAGCTCAGCCTTACTACCCGTCCTTTTCTATGGATCCCTTTCCTTCAATGGCGCTTGCTCCGTCTCCGCCACCCAACTACCTTGCAAACGCTGGACCCGCACCCGCATATGGTTCCCCCTACGGTGCCCAGCAGATGCCGCCCGCCCCGCGTCAACAGGTATGGCGCAACGCCTCAATCCCCACTCCCGACAACGACGTGATTCCGACTGCCATTGTTATCAAGAACATTCCTTTTACAATATCCCGCGAGACGCTGTTGGGCATTATTGAGAGTCTCGGCGCACCTCTCCCATACGCATTCAACTACCATCACGACAATGGCGTCTTCCGCGGTCTCGCTTTCGCCAACTTTCGCCTACCCGAGGAGACGGCAAGCGTCGTCGCAGCACTCAACGGCTATGACGTGCAGGGCCGCAAACTCCGCGTAGAGTACAAAAAGGTCCTTCAGCCCGGCGAGAAGGATCGCATCGAGCGCGAAAAGGCCATCAAGCGCATGAAGAGTCTGCAGCTGGACGCTGTAAAGCAGCAGCATCTGAGTGACATGCCGCCCATGCCCCGCCAGCCGCAGCAGTCGCAGCAACAGCAGCAGCAGCAGCAGCAGCAGCAGCAGCAGCAGCAAAACGGTCATCACCCCCAGTTCTCGTTTGACACCGCCGAGGACCGCAGCTCGCCCCACTCTGCTGCATCGACCAATTCGGACCCATCAAACATGCAGATCAATCTCGACCTGAATGACCCCGAAGCGCTCCGCATCTACAACATGGTTTACATGTTCAAGGAGGACAGCTACCGCGACGAGTTGGCGCTTTCTCGCAACCTCAACGCCAAGGAGCGTCGCATGGTGCATCTGGTTGCCGCCAAGCTGCAACTCACTAGCATCAACAAGGGCGAAGGCGACAACAAGTACGTTGTTGTCACCAAGGACCCGCCTCCGCGTCCGGAGCCGCGTACTACGTCCTTCCTTGCCCCGTACGACGGTCCAACGCCCGGCTTGAGAATCAAAAAGTCGATGCCTGACTTGCGCGGGTTTAACGGCCCTGTCGTCGCGCGTGACCCGTCGCGCAGCCTGACGCCGCAGCGTTCCAGTGGAAGCTTGCGTGCTGAGGCGGCCGGTGGCATCATTGCCGGTCGCGAATACGCGTCGATGGGAGCGTCGCACGGACGTCGCCTTAACGGTCATGGGCACGGCTCGGGCACGTTTAACACGTTCTTTGGTACGGTGATTGGTGCCCCTCCCGTGCCTCCCCTTCCCGAGGGCCTCAAGCGCACCAACCTGGACCGTAGCATTGACCGCGAGCGCGCCGATCTAGTTCTCGACCGTGAGGGCCCTGGCTCGTCCGAGTCGGGTTCGTCTCAGTCGCACAACACTATGCCGCTAAGGAATCCTCGCGGGCCCGTGGGCGAGTCGCGCGGCTTCTCGAGCGGGATGGGCACTCTGCGCCCCGGGTCGAGCTCGTTGCGCGGTGTGCCTGGGGCACTAGCGCTGGGCCGGCATCGCGAGGAGGACGACGAGGAGAGTACACGGACGCGCGAGGAGCTGGATCTCTGAGATCTTTTTTTTGCTTGCACGTACGACGAATACGTATCGCTGGCACTAGCGTCGCCCGAGTATGCGTCGCCCAGGTGTCGGCGCGCGCGCACCTCACTTTTCTTTTCGTTTCCCTTTTCCGCGACAACAACACATATAGACTACAGATCTTCGCTCTCTTTGCGCTGTGCGCCATCGCCACGACACGCATGAACCAGTCTGCGACCACGCCCCAACGCTACACATGCCCCGCCGTCTTGGACTTTGAGACGGATCTGTACTTGTAGGATGAATTCATGAGACCGCGGCGCCGCGACGTCGTGCTAAGCGAGACGGCGCTAGCGACTAACAGCGGCTGGCAGATGGCAGCTGGCAGGGGAGAGATGGGGGCAGGCCTGGATGATGCGATGCGCTTAGGCCAGGCATGCGATGTCGTGTTTACATGGCGAGAGACGAGTGTGACCAGCCACCTGAAACATGCCGTCGCTCGCAACGCAACGCAACGCAACCGCGCCCGCCGGCCGCCGGCCTGCTTGGATCCTGCAGCTGCCTGTCGCCATCGCTCAACGCGTCTGAAACGGCCACCAGGCACTCGGAGCTAGCGAGCTGGTGACGCGTGACGCGTGACGGTCACGCCGGTGGGCAGCGAGATCGAGAGATCGTTATCGAGAGATCTGGCAGCGAAGACGGAGTCACGTGTTCTTCAGTCACGTGTTCTTCTCGACGATGTGGAGTTCTACAGTTCTTATACATAGTCGCGATCATGTCAGCCGTCTCGGCCGTTGGCGTTTCGACGGCTCGCGCGTCCCTTGCTTGCTCGGCAAACCCCGGCATCGCGCTCCGCTATCAGTTATCTCCTCTCCTCTCCCCTCCCCTCCCCTCCCCTCCCCTCCC